GACTTCGGTAAAACGCTGTTGTGTTTGCTTGTGAAGACAAGTTGGCCAACACTATAGTATTACTTTTAACACCTGAAGGTAGTCAGGCGATCTGTAACAAGGAGATTAACGCATACCAATTGTAAGGTAACAATGAATAACAAATTAACATTAGACAGAAACATTGCAAAATTACTTAAACCACGAAGGAATAAAAGTAAAAAAAGTACACTAGAGTTAATACCGTTTTACTAACTATGATTATAATGAGAAGAAAACGTTCTTTGTTCCCAGTGATACTTTGTAACAAAATGAAAATACAGTGGTCTATTTCCCGTCATCTCCTGTAGCAACAAGGCCACAACAAAATATTCTTGCCAAGTAATTAGTGATGACGTCATGAGCACACTCCTTACGCACCTTTCGCGTGACAAGATCAGCCCACGGTTTCGTAAGACTTGTGTATTCTTAATTTGCTTGGGTGTGAAAGTTACACAATTCAAATATAATGAGTGTACTTTACTCTGGTATTAAACATGGAATTTATTTTGTCTACTGTCTTTAACTTTTATAAAACATTTTCGGCTGGCAAGTAAAATAAATCCATTATTCACAGCCTATCCACAAATATTTATATACGTTTTTAGACAATACATTGAAGGTATTTATGCACCACATTACTGTATGTTAGTCCAAATAAATTGGTAGACTATACTTCCCCATTTTCTACGAGAGGAATGTGAGACAATGATGGAAGTAACGGAACTAGACAAACTTCAGAACCACGATTTCTACTATTTGTTAATTACTTCACTGCATCTCTACACCTTTTGTCTGACATACGACTGTACTCAAAATATATTCACCTGGGAGAAGTCAGTTGTAATCCTTTTAAGCATTCTCCTACGAATAATATAGAAATTGATTTATCCCCTACATGTCGTTCCTTCTACTCATTAGGGAGTTTAAGAAACCACGACAGCGACGCCGAGGACAACGTCGATTAAAACATGAATTTACATTTTACCTATGAATCTCGCGGTGCCCTAAAGTCATTTACTTTGTTTATCACTGCCAAAGCTATCACAAAACTGAATCAGGACACATCGATAAATTCGAAATAAAAATTTCAAAAGTACGCCCTCGTGCATGGTTCACGTTCTCCAGACAACCCGGAATTTGGTCATTTCACGTTGTTGTTTTGCAGAGGAAGGCAAAGAAATGTACCAAGAATTACTACGCACGTGCACAGCCATTGTACCGCTCATTAAACCTTTTGTTTAGCGACGTTGCCATTGTCGTTGCCGTCGTGATTTTCTTAAGCTTGCTATTGTTAGTCTCCAGCAACACTTTAAACGACTGACAATCCAAACTCGCATCGATTGACAACTTAGCGCATTCGCAAGCAAGAAACTCGGCTGAATCTACTCAGCCATGTTTTTGGTAAAGTGCTGATCTTAAGTTAGAAATATATAATTTGCTAGTTTTTCATTTTGTTGACCATTTATGTACTACAGTGATGATTATGGCTGTTTGTTAGATAGATTATGGCTATTTGTTTTTTTAGATATGTAGCAAGTTTGAGATGCAATCTGCTGGTTGAAATTGTCCACCTTTTGTGCATTGTCAGTTAGGAATAGGTGGCTGTTTCTTGTGAATCAGAGGCACATGTGCAGTTCAAATCTTTTCACCATTTCTTCATTGTCGGTAATAATCGTAACTCTGTTGGAGTTTAGATATTCCAGTGAGCTTAATGTAAACTTTGCTAGTTAACACTGACTGCCAACCATGTTTGTACTGTTAGTTAAAATTATGGCTGTTTGTTGCCAGTTTAGATTTTGCAGTAATCTTAAGATGCAGTTCGATAGTTCAAATTGCATCGCATTTTTGTAATATTAAAATCATAGCTGTTTGTTTGCAGTGAGCTTAAGGTACAATTTCATAGTCAAAATTGTCTGTTATTTGTGTATCACCAATTAAGATTATGGTCGCTTGTTTGCAGTTTAGATATTGCAGTGACGTTGAGATATAATTTGCTTGTTGAAATTTGTAACCATTTCTCCACCGAGACATCTTGTTGCTCTTTTTTAACAGGTTAGAAAGAGTATTTCCATTGTCAGTAAAATCGTAACTCTCCGTATAATTTGTAATAAGATAAGCTTTTGATACTCTTTGTTAGTTAAAATTGTCAAACATTTCTGAATTGTCAGGCAACATTACTGCAGTTTGTTACTTGTTCAGTATTTCAGTGACTTCGAGATAGAATTCCCTTGCTACAATTTGCCACCATTTCTCCACTCGCTGTTGAATTAGAAACCGTTTGTGCACAGAGTTCGAGAAAGTAAAAATTGTGACTAGTAGACTATTTAGATATTGCAGGGAGTTCGAGTTATGATTTCCTGACAAAAATTCTGAATGCAACTATTTGTGTATTTTTCGATTAAAATTACGGCTGATTTTGGCAGTATACATGTTCATATTGGAGTGAGTTGAAGATACGATTATCAGTGGTCAAATTTTTAACCCTTTGTCTACTGTTAAAAACTGTTAACATTTCAGATAATGCAGTGTTTTTTAGTTACAGTTTGCTAGTTAAAGTTGTAAACCATTTGTCAACTTCCAGTTAAAATGTAAACTGTTTGTTAACACGTTAAACATGCCATAAATCTGAGACAGCAGTTCAGATAGCGCAGTGTTTTTGAGATGCAATTTGCTAGTTAAAGTTGTTAACCATTTGTCAACTGCCAGCTGAAATGTAAACTGTTTGTTAATGGTCGTTAATAATTTAGACAAGCCATAAATCGGAGAGTTTGAGTTTCAGCAGTGCAGAGATGTTCCTAGAATTTCAAGGCAACTTTGTTAATACAGTTGAACCTGGCAAGGTCCACCTCAATATGCATGATGCTTTCGATATTTTAGTTGCCTCCTTTATAAATTGATTTTAAACAAATGTACATTCTGAAAGAGGCATGAAAATTAAACATCAAATTATTTGAGTTATCAGGTTATCTTAGTTAACATGAAGAAACGAAAGGCTACCTTTCAATTCTAATTAATATCCGTCAGCTTTAAGAGAATGATATTCAATGGCGAAATAATATATAAGTGATAAGGTTGGGTGTGGAATGATTACGTTGCCCACTGAAAAATTGAATGGAATTTCTGAATGTTTGAAAATATGATTCACTGGGCACTTTGCCTTGTTTTATCAAAATTACCTCATTCATCCTTTACGTCCCCTCTGCTCGTATGCAAAAAATAAAATTGCCTGGATTTTGTGTTACTCGATCGAAGCTCTGTAGTTTATGTCGATCGCAATTTTTGCAACAAGTTAAGTATATTTGAGGTCTATGAACAGGAAATTAGAAGATGAACACTTGCAAGTAATTCATTGAGGATTATTACATAGAAGTCACATGAAATGGACGTGACGAGGAAAAGGGACAAGACATCAATAATATAACAATTCAATGCCAGACATAAAGAAAACAAGTGAACCGATGACAAGAGTTATCAGTTTATTCCTTCGTGAATAGAACCCTTCTTAAAAACAAAACAAGGGACTTTTTAAAGCAACTGTTACTATGGATTGTTGTAGTTCACCTGAAAATAGCTCTTGAAGAAATACTACTAGAAATATTTTATAATACGGTTCTCATGACCCTCTTGAAACTGCACTGCCGGAAGCATATCTTACATCATAGCTAATGTGTTAAAATTTCGCAATAACGGAATGATATTACGGAAACTTCAAATTACGGGGAACGGCATGAAAGAAGCGGAAGAGATCTTGTCTGTCAAGGCCGATGGTTATCACGCAAAACTGACAAATTTCCTTCGCTATTGTTTGCACACTCGAAGGAATCATTGAACTTTGCGCAAAAATATTGTAGCTAAGACGTGACTTGAGCAAAGCATGAAACAGATATCAAAGAGAGCATAATATTCACATTTTTTCATCGAAATAGTTTGGACAGCAATCAATATACGACGACTTCTCGTCAGTTAGTGGCTCTTAACAAGTTCTAAAATAAGAAATTACTTTAATTTTTTTCTATTTCGTGGCTCCTTTGGTAACCTACAATGGCGTTACATTTTGGAATTGTCAATTTTTCACGCGACAGTTGCTGCTTCCAAGTTCTTGTATCTGATCCTCCCCCTCATTAGGACTACATCACCGTAATTCAGTCATAATAATAAACAAATTATGCTGTTTCTTTGCATTTAGTACAGCTCCCGACCCCAATGATTTGCTGTTCTCAATGAATTGCAAGATTTCCATTCTTTTTTTTTTTAATCTTTGTCATGACAAAAATAGCAAAATGACGACTCCCCTTAGGAAAAGCCGTCACTCACAAAAATTTTAATTTTTTTCAATAAAATGCTGATTTGAAATAGACGTGGCCGGAGTGGTCGATTATCCTTGTACAAACCTCACGTATTAAACCGGCGAACAAATAGAGTTTTGTATTTCCTGTTGCAAAGTACGTCTAATTTTACGTTTTTCCTGACATTTCACCAAAGCAGCAATTGAAAATGATGCACATTAGCTTGATTTATGATCTTATATGCAAAACAGGGCTAAAGAGTAGAAAAACTTCCTTGTTGTTGTCTTTACCCTACTACGCGAATAGCTTTTTTGAAGACCTCTGTGCAGGTTAACATAGCTCGCTGCTTTAAATGACATTTAAGATTTATGCACGGACTTTGGTTAGCTGTGATCACACGTTTTATGCACTGACAATGTAACATTAATTGCTTCAGTAAACATAGTGTGCTTGCAATCAAAACTTGAACTTTAATAGCTGTTATTGAACTTCATAGCTCAAGGAAATATGATATCACTCTTTGGGTCAAGTCTACTGATATTCAGTTCGATAACCTACGTATCTCGAGTTTCGTATCATAGTCAGTGCACGTTGTCAGAACTGGCTGCGGTTATAATTGTTCTGTATGTTTGACCACCTTGACAACTTTGAACAATACCGCAATAAAACACAAACAACCGCGTTAATCTGTTAACCACGCAATGGAGGTCGCTCGATGTCATTTTAATTCTTCATTAATAGTTTTATTCATCTTTATTTTTTGTCAGACATGAAAAATCACCTACAAACGAACCTCAGATGTCATCAAGTGTCCATTAATCACGAGAGCCTTGCTGCTCTCAATCTTGACATGTTAATTGTGATTCTTTTCTTTCGGACAAAAGGAGAGAGTGTTTATTGACGCGTCAGTGCGCGGGCGGATGTTTCGTCACACAAAGAACGAGTGATATTAGTTACAAACTGGCCGTGCGATATGGAATGACTGGTAAATTATTAACCTGGGACTGAAATACGAATCATTAACTCCTAAAGCTTCTTTATCCGAAAATTGTCTAAAACAATTTGGGCCGGTGGTTTGGTGAATGCCAAATCACCATAACATGATCAACCGAAAAGGGGTTCACGCAAGTATGTAAATGTTTACTAGAGCTGCCGTTACTAAGTGGAGTCACATGCCTCGAACCGTAAATTGCCGCCGTTCTAGAATACAACTATGCAGTGATATCTCTAAGAATTCTCGGCGTTTAGATAATGCTTGTAATTTTTGGATCAAAACATAAACAAATCTCCAAAACAAACGAATTTTTTCGGGTCTGATGTTTATTCAGGCATGAATTTGCATTCTTTCAGTTCAGTGATCATCAGGCTACTGACGTCATTGTGCCGTCGGGTAACGTCGGAAGAACTCGTTTGACGGCATAAGTGTTTCCGGCTTTATAATCGTCAATGAAAATAAAACTACATCAGTCTTCGGAGCGTTCAGTACGATTACATATCCGTAACGTCTACTCGACCGGTCTACAATCAAGGCGACTCAAAATATGTTCATTCAGGTACCAGAATCAGTGAACAAATCCCTTAGGAACGGAATCTCACCACGAACAGAGATCCATTTTCCAAACTCATCCTTAGAAAATCGACATCCCCGCGCTATTTTGGCCGACGGCGGCATAGACAGGTTACAAAACGAGATATTTGCTAGGCGGGAGTGTGATTGTGGGGCAGACGGAGTTACGATGCCCGTTTCAGTTGGATCACGTTGGATCCCATGGAGACCTCCAATATTTCCCTCCCACGAAAGCTACAGAAGGTCTCGTGAAGTTTGTAACAATTTATTATTAACCCCACGCAGTTCACCGTCAAGGCCAAGCGTTACCGGCGTTACAGAGTCAGTTAATCCAGCGCAAAAGGCCGTGGCCAGAGAAGAGGTGGAGACGCCTGCTAAAGAGGATGATCACAGCGAAGAAGACGAGATTGAGAGCTTAGGATCACCTCGTTCGTTTGCCTCTTCGGGATCCAACAGTAGCCGAGATGACATGTTGAACCAGTTCCCAGAGGTACAGAGCCCAGCTGGAGGACACACACCTGTTCCAAAATCAAGGTCACAGCATTCGAATCCATGGGGAAGAGCATCGTACTCCGACCTGATTACAATGGCCATTACTTCCACGGGCAACAACATGATGACTCTGTCGGAGATTTACAGCTGGATTGTCAAGAACGTGCCATACTTCAACGACAAGGGAACTTATTTATCTGTGCAAGGATGGAAGGTAAGCCAAGGGAAACATTAGATTTAGAACACTAAGGAAAAGTAATACTGACCGTGCTAGCGCTGCAGTCAGCCATCTTTTGATGATCCTAGTCGTTTTACAACTCAGCCCTTGTCTCTCATTAGCAAATTTTGGATTGCTTTGGTAGCCAATCATAAGAATTCAGGCCACTGCAATTCAAAGAAGTTACCAGATTTTTTTAAAATTAGATGTTATCATGAAAACGTGCGATCGTATAGAGGAACAATGAAATGAATCACATCGACCACCAATAACGTACTCTGGAATCTCCACCTAACAATTTCCCTCCAAACTGACATCGAAAGCTTTTGTTTCGAGTATTTTTACATATCCGGGTGAATACTTTAGCTTGTTATTGTTGAAGTGGCGGAATTTAAAAGCCGGAATTTTAGAACGCGAAGGATTTCAAAACCCAGTTTGTCGAGGGACCTACGTGTCGGTCACGCTATTTGAGGTAACATGTTGTTTGAATAAGAACTGGAATGAAACCTAAAAGGAAAGGATAAAGCGATAGAAAAACACAGATAGAAATGCTAAGAAACCGCATAGGAATGCCGACTGAGTAAAATCTACAGGCAAGATGAAAACGCCAGATTCCCAGAGGCATGGCTTGATTATATTTAGGGACTATTGAATCTACACCCAATTTTATTGATCGTCCATTTTGACTGTAAAAGCTTTCCGTTTATTACGCTCATCTAAATAAATCAGCATAAATAGAAGATGCTTGTTCACGGTTAGGTTCAGCTTATTAAGCTCATTATTTACCGACGAAAAGTAGTTTTGTTTTGAATTAATCTGGCGTGGTTCGCTCGGGGGCACTTTGCGAATTTAAGGGCGATAGAAATCATGGGCGTTAAATCTACCAAGCGCCACCGTAAGGCTTTACATGTTGGGCTTATTATCAATTGCTCTTCCAGTACGTAGCGTTTATGTATATATTATCTCAAACCAGATGTGTCGAGAAAATTGTTGTAACAAATTTCAGGACTAGCGTGAACTTTGTATTATGCCTCAAATTCTGAAAATGTCCTGTCCGGAAGATTGCCTTCCGCCCTGGGTATTTTTGTCTAACTTTAAGTCTTCCTGTGTTGGTTCCAGTCTAGTAGGAGAGCTTTTTTTCCTTTTGGAAAGGGAACTGATATCTATTTGAAAAGCCAGACAATATTTTCACTGAATTCCTGGCACACCCATCTTGCGTTCCTTTAAGTCAAGGAAACGACAAATGAAACAGAACGAATTCAAAGTAGCATGGTGAAATTTCTGCAATATTAGCACTCAGTATTCTTAGTTTCATTACCTGATGAGTTCCTTGTAACAACGATTCGATACTGTAAACTTTAACCGTGCAAGGAAACAAAAGTGTTATTTCTCTCTAGTTGAATACGCAACTTTCTCAATCTTGGTTGGCTTCTTTTCTTTCTAATCTGATCGAGATACTGTAACGCCCGATTTACCGAACGAAATAGCCCTTCTATTATTGGTAAACAACGCCAAGGAAGCTTCGGCCATGGTCAGTTGATGCAATCGCTGTGCAGAAGGTTTGTGGTAATTGTGTCGCTCACGACAAAACAACGCGGACCTTTGGGGTCTCGAACCTTCGTCGAGCGACACACACCGGAGGCAATAGCTCACCAAGGCAATATTATTAGTTTTCACTTTTCCAAAATCAGTCCAAAGCGTAAAACGCTTTTTACGTAAAAATACAACTTCCCGCCGTAAAATCTGATGTGGTTTTCTGTACTCGTGTTTTTATTATGAGGCTGTTTCACTTTTTTGTTCCGAGAGAGCGATGCAGTTTACATGTAGAGTCTTAGAAGTGCTGGAACAGAAAAGAGGGATTATTGAAATTATTTTGATCTAATTGCGGGCATAATCGAGCATTAAAAGCGATTTAAATATCTAGAGTTTGGTGAAATAAATCTGTCAAGACACAAGAGCAATTTTAGCTGCGAAAACAGAACACTTTGGCGTTTCAGCCTTGTCAAAGACAGATTTGTTTAAAGGAAGGTTTGAAATCTTATTACCGTGTATCCTCGAGTTGCGGAAGAAGCGTTAATTCAGTAGACGAAAATGACTCAAGAAAGCTGTTTATGTTACAACCTCTGCGTGAACTGAAAACGACAAACTACGGAGCAAGCCTTTACGGGACAAAGTAAGCCAGTTGGGCAGTTGATATCTATGTACAGCAGAAACCCCGCCTGAAGATATTTTGAGAAAGATAACCTCTAGTTTATTTATACCGTCATCTCTTTTCTTAAAAAAGCTCAGTCGTTTTTCCCCTTGTTTAACTTGGCCATCCTATTGGTAGATATCATTAGCCTGTTGGTGGTTAGATCAGAGGGTTCCACTCTAGATCTTCTTCTGAGTTGTTAAATAAAGCGTATTTATCATCTCTCAACAGAACGCTGTCCGCCATACTTTATCCCTCAGAAAGCGATTCATCCGCGTCCCAGACCCCAAGCGACCGTACAAGTCGATGTGGACAATTTCGAGTGATTATCAAAGAAACCAGTTGAAGCAAAAGCGACGCAATTCTGACGAAAAAAGGAGTCATTTCAAGAACCAGAGCGGAAGCACAGCGATAAAACAAGAACTCAGACAACCTATGGATCTAGATGAGGCTAGGCCTGATAATCAGTGGACGATGAATTAAAACAGACACCTAATAAATTATTATCAAATTTTGTTACGCAACTTACACGCATACACTGTACAGCTATTTTTTATTAAGATTTATAATATAGATAGGACTCTGCGCGCGCTCTGATTGGTCAAAACCCCATGTTTCATCAGATTATATGTAGAAAACACTCGCTCGCGGCTCGTGTTTTCTACATTTCCCTCGTGTTCTCAAATGCCCGTCGTGTTTTATCACAGTGCAATACACGGCTAAGGCTTCTTTATTTGTTAAATATTAGAGGTCAAAGTTGCAATGTTTAAGGGAATATTTGCGCTAAATAAAACGTCATAAATAAATAAATAGCCAAAGGCTAAGTAAAAAGAGTATATATATAATTTATGTTTCTAAACAAAGAAGAGATTTATCCAAATTTTTATTCTTATACATCTGTACGTATGATGTAAATGTTATGAAAAACTCAATAAAAATTTGCTTTTAAGTCATAAGCCACCTCTTTATTTTATTTCATACCACTAATTCTGCCCCATTCCGATTGGCTTTTTGTAGCAATTTCTGTAGCAAAGGTCTTTGATAGGGCGTGAAAGTCGGCTCCATGTTTCCGATGACTGTTGACCTTACACGTCACCATACGCAAAATTTCAGACACTCCGCACTCAATAACAACTGGCATTCAGAGGAATATTGCTCAACTGATTGAGGACCTTGAAACTGCGGCAAAACAATTATAAATGTACTTTTTCCATTGGTTTAAAGACCATGCAATGTATAAAAATCTAGAAGAAAGAAGGAAGTCTGAAGGAAAGCCAGAACACGGAACTCTGTTACTATGGAAAATTGAAAGAGTGGAGCTTGTGTGATTTTTGTCTCACTCGGTGGGGACACCATTTGATGGTCAATATGAGCCGAAGATGTACGGTGTGCCGCAAATCGATAATGTTCATCGACAAATTCTTGGTTTGTTCACGTCTCGCACCGATAAAGCTTGTTTAGAAGAACTGTTAAACTCAAAATGTTTTGATGGAGAAGCTGAAAAGTCAGTTGAAGAGTTTTTATCATAGAACTCTTGAATATCAACAAAACCATGTCTGATTATGATACTCTTATAATAAATCTTATCACCTAAATTTCACTTATTACCTGCAGGTTCAATTTATACATCATGTCCAGGGGTGAATCCAGGGGCGTCCTGATATTAACCTGGCACTCTCTTTGCTGAAAATTTCTATACACCTAATGTTAATTGTTATGGAGGGCACAATCCCTCTGTTGGTTACTTCTTGTAATGAAACATCCCATTCATGAGATGCTGGATCCACCCATGTTGCGTTAATCAGACATAAGCTAAAACGCCTTGTGACCAGGTAGGCGAATTGCTCGTGGTTCTGGTACTAATTACTATTAGTTTTTTGTTATATTTTTGATGACATATCTCTAAATCTTGTTTTCATCATATTAAATAATTTCCAGAAAGAAATTAATATCATTATTAGTGAAACATAGGTGGTATTCGAATCTTTAAGTCAGCTTGCCCGTAAGGTAAGGTAAGGTAAGGTAAGGTAAGGTAAGGTAAGGTAGGGTAAGGTAAGGTAAGGTAAAGTCGTAAACGTAGGGAGTGGTTGCCCAATCTCCCTAGCCAGGGGCTCATGACAAAAACGCACGACTATTTACAATAACGTTACTACTTACAATAACTATATTCGCTAAGACAAATCCAGAATTAAGATATAAGATATTCCTAAAAGCAACTGGTCCTAATGTTGTGTCCTAAAAGCAACTGGTCCTTAGCTCTGATTGGTTACGTTCGCGTCCGCACACATCACCGTGTTGTCCCAAGGCGAATGACTAACCGACGACCACGAAGCAATATAATATAACGACCAAAACTGCGTTGCACCAAGTCCTGTTAATAATCAGTGATAACTATAACAATATAGTCGTATAACAATATATAACTATAACTATTCTGAGACAGAAAGAACAAAGAATAAAAAAACGCACAACCTGAACCTGCCGAATACCGGGTTTTAGTTTTTTACTTGTCAAAAATGTCAAAAAAAGTATTTGTGACTGTAAAAGCTCAGGCTCATTGATACAACAGGCATGTACGTAGATTAAAAAAAAATGGAATCTTTTTTTCTTGAATCTTGGTCAAATGTCCAATAAATATTCACTCAGTTGGTGAGGTCAAGGTCTGGACAAGTCCAGGAGTACAGATGGAGAGTCCACTTCGGGAGTTCAGTTTTCAAAATAAAAGCCTCCAATCACACTAAATAACAGGGTGCTTGGAAGTTTTTACTCTGCACTCTGAACAATCCTCGTTAAATCCAGTCAATCTAAATATTTATACACAAGTAAAATCTCTTCCCAAGAAATACTAGCACCCCTCTAGAGACTTTTGTGAGACCCGAATGTTAACCAGGAGTTCTCCAATAAGAACTTTACCAGGGCAGGCACATGCAATGTCCGCGAGGTGTACATCTTCGTACTAATGGCGTCCAAATACCCCCTGGGGAACTCCCCACATGAAAAGGTCGGGATGCTCGTAGGAAAATTTGGATTAAACCCCTACGGAGACCACTCTGAGCGTGGGTTTAGCTTTATTTGACCCTATAAGAAACCACTTAAAACGGAATAGGCTCGCATAGCAGCCGCTGTTCAGAGAAAGAGCCCGCGCTGATAGACCGGTAGACCCGAGAGACCGGCGAACATCTAGCCTAAAAAGGGAAATAAGAGCGTTTTTATTATCATTTCTTCGAGTACATCCTAACAGATACTTTGACAGCAAAAAATAGTGGCGCTTCTTCATGAACGAGCTAAGTGAGACCAGAATCCTTGATTTATACTCCTAAGAGAGACAACGAGCATCCACAACCTTTTCAAAGGGGAGTTCCCTCCAGGCAAATACCTTTTCTCCCGGCTGTAGACCCTCATCAGCAAGTAAAGGGCCAAACTTTCCCTAGAGGGGGAAGGGGCAAAAAACAAACAAACACTTCAACTTACCAGGAAAGTGATTTTTGTTAGTAAAACGTATAACAATCTAACAAGTCATGGGGTAAGTGCGTAACGGAAATCAACGTGAGCAGATTTCATGTTTTGTTTCTGTTTTTTAGCACTCCGGTTAGCCTAAATAAAATTCCGGGGTTCGCATGAGTAGCACTGATTCGACAGTGATTAGCTCTCAACAAGTGTAGCTCACTGTAAGTGTATGCGGTATATACTCAAACAAAGCTTTGCATGGAGTCACTGTCTATTTACACCGTTACGCCGTCACCCGTCACGCCGTTAAACCGGCGTGTGACAATTCGTACTCGCGTGCACGATACTGATATGCACAATTACCTAGAATAAACGAGACCTACCTCGCCCAATGGATTTGTAACTATGATCCACGAGCACCTGCTATGTTCTTCCGTTAAAAACTCTCTGGTGACAATGCTATAGAAAAAGTGTAAACTTTAAAACAGTGACTGCTTTGCCTGGAGTTTCGACTCACTTTCTCATTGGTTATAACTAAATCACGTGGCACTGGATGCAAGAGCAAAATCCCACTAGAAAAACACTGGGAAACTTGCCAAGCCCCAAAGTAGCTGATGCATCAAAAGCCTGAAAGTCAAGGCACGTGGTCATATCGTGTCATGAGTGGCGTGATGTTTTACCAGTGTCATTATAGTTTGTTTTGTTTACTTAATTCTTTGCATCAAATCATGGTTAACAGGACTTAATAGAGGGGAATGATTATGAAATCCGATAAAGTTCTTTGTTTTATCTTTTTGTTCGCTTTTTTGGCATTGACCTTACACAAAACACAATAGTTGTTTAGTTTTATCTGAGGAACTAACCAATAAAACATTTCAGTTACGTAATTCATACATGGTGAATAAGCGCAAAATAAGAAGATTTTGGACTTTTCTTGCTCTATACCAAAATGAGGGGTCGAGGTCCACTCAGTTAGTTTAGTTTTCCTTCGAATGGGCATATGTTCCCCCATAGTTAATAGAGAGGAATGGAAGAGAAGCCCAGCAAACACCAAAGAAGCAAATAACGATGCCAAGATTTATAACCCTGCCGTCATCTTTTCGTTGCGTCGTACACTATGCATGGTTATGTAACCAAAACGTTCCTATTGGTTAGTTCCTCAGTCATTTGTAAACAACTATTGTGTTTTGTGCACGGTCAAGGCCAAAACAAGACAATAAAAACAGACAACAAAGAACTTTGCCGAGTTTGATAACGATTTACCTCAAGAGCCGGACCTTTTTAGCTTGGGCGGCTCAGGCCATTTGATGATGCTCTTGAGAAGTCTTGCTTTCACAGTAATGTTTCAAATAGTCGCCTGTGTATGAATGAATGTTCTTAGAATGAATGTTTTTAGCCCAACTTCGATATACATCAAAATTCAGCCTAAAACAATAGACCTCAACGCGAGGCTTTGGGGAATAAAAGTTATCCCCCAGAACCTCGTGTTGAGATCTATTGTTTTAGACTGAATTTTAATATATCGAAATTGGTCTATTCTCTAACGAATATCACGCTCTCTGTCATGGGGAAACAAACCACCCAGGCTAGAATGGTCTATTAACTATGTTTCTGACGACAACAGCAATACAACAAAGCCACTCTTTCCATCGAGCTTGTTCTTTAAACGTATATTTTGATATTTGTTTCCGATGTACCGTTGCCACTTGAACTAAGAATACCTAATGAGAGTGCGCCTCCGGTCCAACTAAACGCCAGATTTATTTCAATTCCAAACGCTTTATCAAAAACTCTTTCACGAACTCAAGTTCAATAGTTTTCTTTCCCTCTCTAAAACTGCTTGACTACAACTCACAGCAATTCCTATCGACAGCATAACCAGCTCGCATGAACATGACCTCAGACGACGATTTAATCGGTCCGGGAACAAATGGCGGTAAAATACCTCCAGTCGAGAGCGTCAAAAAGGTTGCACGTTGAAATAAGCTGGTTGAAGCTTAAAAAAACAGTCAGGCAGCGTCTTTCATGATCAATAAGAATCAAAAAATAAAAGCAAATCACTAATTTGTGGTCAATTGATATCAAGAAATGCACATAACGCTATAAGCCAATTAACGCTCGTAGCAGAAACCTGCAGCCAAACCAAGCGCGGGAAAAACGCTTGTGCTAATATGCACAGCGATCAAGTAGATTACGAGCGCAGTTCCCGTTGTCGTTCCAGCATAGTTAATAGAGGAGAATGGTTATGAAACTCGCCAAAGTTCTTTGTTGTATGTTTTTGTTCTCTTTTTAGGCCTTGACCTTGCACAAAACACAATGGAACTAACAATAGAAATGTTTTGATTACGTAACTCATGCACAGTGTAAATGCAAAACAAAAGATTGTGCACGGTCGTGGACCTTCCAACATAACTCTTGGCATCTTTGCTTGCTCCTTTGATGTTTGCCGGACTTCATAACCACTTCCCTCTATCAACTACGGTTCCAGCCAAAACTGCTCCTTGACATC